ACACACACACACACACACACACACACACACACACACACACACACACACATACCCAGGCCCCAGGGCTCCTTCCAGGCTACTGAGCAGCCAGGCTGGGGAAACTTCTCCACAAATCTCAGAACCACACAGCCATTCCTTGCTCACTGAGCTGGCTGGGGGGCTTCTATTGACAAAGGCCTGAATGTCATTTTTAGTCTCTGGCCTTTCAGGGTCACTCATGGGTAGACACTCATATTGAGACCTAACAAGGCTGAGACTGGGGGATGTTCTAGGGTCCTGAGACCATGAATACCATGCTGCACTCAACCCAGGGTCCGTGTGGTCTCACCTCCTCCAGAGACAGCCGCAGGGCCTCTAGTCTCTGAACCCTCTCCTGCATGGCCCTCTCACTCTCCTCCAAGTGACGAGCCATGTGATCCACCTGACCGAATGAAGGAGTCAGGGTTAGCCAACACCAGCTCCCCTAGCCCTCACCCCATGGAATCCTGACGCTGGAAAGCAGGTATCACTTGGCAAAGTCATGCCCTGAGGGTCCTGGTGAGCACTGAGGACAGAGGCTCGAATTGGGGCACACACAGCAAGTCCACAGCTGCCTGAACTGTGGGTACCGTTGCCTGCAACTCCGGCATCACCAACTCAAGGTTCGCCGACCAGGAGCATGCAGTGGGAGTATTGCGTCATACAGGGCCGGTCTGCAGGCCCCAAGCAGAAGCAGGACAGCCAAGGGCATCTAAGACAGTACCTCCTTGGAGTGTAGCTTTTCCAAGTCTTCCATATTCTGTTTGGCTCTCCTCTTCTCTGCATCCAAGCGCTCTGGAGGCCCAAAGGGGAAGTGTTGTGAGTCTTCTCTGAGGGTATCTTGTCCCTGAAGCTCCTTGTCCCCTTAGTGCCAAGCCTATCCATGCCTACCCTCAGCCTGAATAGCACGGATCTTCAACTCAGCCGATGTGTTAGTCAGCTCCTGCCTGGTCAGAAACAGCTGCTCCTGCTGAGACTTTACCTTCCGCTCCAACTCATCCACCTAAGAAGCAGGAAACACTAGAGGAAGCTTCACCCAGCCCTGCTACACCACCCTGGGCTCTTTGTGTGGCTGGCTCTGTCCCATTTTGGCTATGCCACTCGGCCCCACGCCCCTCATACCTGGCTTCTAAGCAGCAGGTTCTTCTCACTGGCTGCTGACAGGTCCCTGAGTAGCTTGGACTCCCGATCTGCAGCTTCCTGAAAGAGAAGGGCAAGGGTTAGGCCGCTGTCATACACTTCCATCCACCAACCAACGCATACTGCCCAGCCCCTACCTGCTGCTCCGACTTGCGTTCCTTCTCGTGTCTTTGGGACAGGCTCTGCCGTTCCTGGTCTGCTGTGACCAGCAGTTCCCCCAGGTCCTGGGCCTTTTGTTCTGACAGAACCAGAGCAGCCTCTGTCATCTGTAGCCTACAAAGAGGAAGGTCACCCTCAGTTCGGCTCCATCAAGAATGTCGACTGCTTGGCAAAGGTCTTCTGCCCTCCCTCCTACCAAGCCTCTGTTCACACCCCAGGAAGCACCGTCCCCTCCTCTGCCTCATGGGCAGGGGTCTAAGTCTCTAGGGCGTTTGAAGTCTGCTCTCCTCTGCCTTACTTGGCTTTGAGGGCATTGATGATGGACTGTCTCTCGTTGAGGGCTTCCTGAAGCTGCCCAACTCGTACTGCCGATGCCCTGTGGACAGAGAAATGGTTCTGGGAAATGTAAACCCCAGAGCCCCGTGGCTTCCCTCAGCCACGGTGGCAGCTGTTGCACTCCATACCATCATCCCCAGTGCTCCAGGCACAGAGCCAAGTGCTCCACATCTGCCACTAACTGCCAGCCCACTCCCTAGAAAGCAATGACGAACTTGTTCTTTGGCCTTGTAACAGGCAGCGCTCATGTGAGGCCATACTCCAATTAGAAGCCAGGTGCTGAGACAGGGGTGGGGGGTGGGGGGGTGTCCCTAGCTGAGTTGTGTGGTCCTACTTCCTACAGCCCCAGGGTTCACTCACCGGCTATCTCTCGCCATCTCTTCTCGTTGCTTATCTATTGTCTCCATCAAATCCAGAAACTGGGGACAAAGTCAGTCAAACACCATTAGAAGCAGAGCCTATCCTGGTCAGTTACAGGACCTGCACTGACACAGGTCTCAAGGGAACTCAGTTGTCCTGACCTCACTACATTCAAAGGGAGGGTGACAAATGGAGACCTGGAGGTTAGCACTCCTGTTGGCTCTGAGTTTTAAGGTGCAGTCAGCATAGGGGAGGTGGAGGCCACCTTGGCCCTGGATAGCCTTGCCTCAGGGGCCTGGAAGATAGATATACCACAAGGGGGAAGGGAGGAGACAGTCAGCCCAGGGTTAGTGAGGGCACTCACCTGCTTGGACTTCTCTTCCTGGAGGTGTTGAACCTCCTTGCTAAGGATCTTGGTGCGTGTTTGGTTCTCCCGAAAGGCAGTGAGTCGGTCCTGGTTGTGGTCCATGGCTTGCTCTGTCAGAAAGTGCCATGTCATCTACTGGGTTCAACATTAGGGACAATGGCTAAGCCAGTCCTGTGCTGCCTGTGTCTGGAAGTTGGTCATCAGGAAGCCCACCCTAGGATGGCAACACCTCCACAACACATCAGAAATCCCCATCCAGTTCCCCTCAGGTGAAACGCTTCAGTGCTTCAGGACAGGATTGTGTTATACAGGGTCTCAGGATGCCCTGGTGTCTTTGTACATATGGGGAAGCTTCTGTACTCCCCCTAAAAGACGAACACTTCCTGGATCCTCTGCTCCCCCCGCCCCCAAAGGTCAAGGGGTGTATGACTTTAAAAGCTGAGTGCTATCTTCTGAAAAGACTGACACCTCTGGATCCCATAGGCTCCTGAGGCAGGGGGATTATGTGGTCAAAGCCATCCTGGGATACATAGCAAGGCTGTCTTTCACACACACAAGAAGCTCGAACATGAAGGACTAAGTTCTTCATTATAAGGACTAAGTCTGCCGGGCCGTGGTGGCGCTCACCTTTAATCCCAGCACTTGGGAGGCAGAGGCAGGCGGATTTCTGAGTTCGAGGCTAACCTGGTCTACAGAGTGAGTTCCAGGACAGCCAGGGCTACACAGAGAAACCCTGTCTCAAAAAACAAAACAAAACAAAAAAAGGCCTAGGTCCACACAGACACAGGACTGGGAACAGGGCACTGCAGATGGCAGATGATTCAAGGACAGCCAGCAGGAGACAGTGACTCTCCAGCAGGAAGTATGAACAAGGCTGGGATCCAGGACTCTGGTCCTGAAAGCTCAGGCTTTGGTGGGTGACACCATGTGACAAACTTCTGAGCCTGAGGCCACAATATCATTTATAAGGACTCGGGATTCATAGGCAGAGGGGAAAGTGAATTCTGACATAGACCAGCACCACCCTGGCACGCCTACCACATCTATTCTCTATACAGCACGTACACACACACACACACACACACACACACACACACACAATCGGGGGAGGCTGAGGAAAGTACGAAGAAGCCTCCCTAGCTGAGGCTCTGACCACCTGATGGCTGTCAGAGCAAAGGCTGCAAGCCACAGGGCCTTAGACTCTTTCCTGTGAAATCTGCACTCCTGAGTACATGTGTGCTAAGGTATGAGGGAGCATATCGAAGCCCTGTGTACGCGCCAAGAAAGCTGCCTACCTTCACCTGCTTCCCCCTTGACCTAGGCCAGCTACTCTTACCGTGAGCTGCCGTGTCTTAAGCCCTGGGTCACACCCTTCTGTGATTGACGGGCTTCATGCCTTGCTCCAACTTGTAAGAAGCTAACAGCCCCGAGTGCCCATACCCACAGCTCTTAGGATATCGCCAGGGATGTTGTTCCCAGCCAGGTCCAGCTTCCACAGGGTTTTGTTGCTGGGGAGACAGTTCACCAGGGCCCGGCCCCCCAGGAGGCCAATGTTATTCCAACGTAGGTCTGGAAGGAAACTTGTTGTCATTCGGATGTATGGAAGTGCTGGCCCAGCCTAGGATACTTTCTTTGGTGCTTTACTGCCCATGGCTGCTAATATAGCCAGGAGCCCAGGTCAACCTCTTCATCAGCAGAGGGACAAGGTGTAGCTTTATACAGCCCAATGTACCTAGGTCTCATGGAGGGGGCGGGGGGGTTACAGCAGAGTTCAGGAGACCTCACCCAGCTGTTGGAGGGTGGTGTTGCCCTTCAGGGCCAGGGCCAGCTCCTCTGCTCCCTTGTGACTGATCTGGTTGTTTCGGAGGTCCAGCTGCCGCAGGGTGCTATTGGCTGCCAGACCCCCACAGAAGGTGGCAAAGGCATCTTCCCACATGCCAAGGTTGTTCCACTCTAGGGTGAGGCTACAGGAAGGGTGGACAAGGTTTTTGACTCAGCAGAACACTCCTTCCATGGAGTCCAGAGTATGTGCAAGGCAAGGATTAACCAGGTTATTCCCTACCAGTGGGGGCAGAACCTTGGTAAGTGGTGGGAAGCGAGCTGGTTATGGGACTGTGTTCTTGGGGCCAACCCTAGGCCACACAGAGAGGAGGCTCTGAGGTACAGGTGAGGCCTACCTACCTCTGAAGAGACTTGTTCTGTCGAAGGAGCTTTCCCAGAGCCTCAGCTCCTGCAGCTCGGAGGTTGTTGCCCTAGAAAAGGAACATCCTGGCCAGTCAGTTCCTGTTATCCTGGCTGTGAATAACACTTTTGTGCCACACAGACTCCAGGCCATGGGAAAGGCTAGGAGGTAGCTGTAGGCAAAGTTGTGGCGGCTAGAACCTAGTTTTCCTGATTTTAGCAGCATCCTAAGCCTGGTCCCTTGGAGTTTATGTGGACTCTGTTGAGATGAGGGTTTGCAGAGCATGCTTGAAACAACACTCTACCTTTAAAACACTCCCCACACCCACGGAATCCTCAGAGAGCAGTCGTGAGGCCTTAGGTATCGTGAACTCTTACAGACACAGTCTGGCAATTGTCAAGAGACAGATCCCTGTGTTTCTCTCTCTCTACTGCCCAGGGTACAGGCCTGCTCACCTTTAGATCCAGATGCTGCACACTGGTGTTGGCACACAGACCTTGGAACAGCAGTGTGGACCCTGTGTAAAGGTAGTTGGAGGAGAGGGCTGTCACTAGAGTGCTACCTCGGGGCTGCTACTCAGATAGTGGTACCATTATTGTTTTGGGTTGCTGTAGGGTCACGTCAGAAACATTTTTTGAGCTTGCCAGGTCTGACCCTTTTCAAGCCAGCTTGGGGAATGGTGAAAGCTGGGATCATTAAGGCTTCTTTCTCTATTAGAGTGATATCGACTTCTACTCCCAGGTTTTGGAAAAGAATGATAAGGTGCAGAAAGAGAGGACAAAGCAAAGAGGCCTGGATACACAAGGACTTTCCTGCTTACAAACAAAACCAGGACACCCGCCCTGAGGCCAGCCCGGAGGCAAAGGGTTTGAACCCCACTCGGAAGTTTCACTTAAGGAGGCCACTGGCCTCACCTTCCTCACTCAGCATGCAGTCGCTGAGGACAAGCTCCTTCAACAGCGTCTCCTTATGCAGCAGCTTGCCAAGGGCCCTGCAGGTGTCCACCGTCAGGCTCTGAGTAGTCAAGTCCAGTCCGCCCCTCGGAAGCTGGTGCAGTTGCTGCAGAACAGCCTCCTGGGGCTCAGCCCCACTCTCCTTGCACAGGCGGTTGTAGGAGCGCCGGAACTCCTCCATGTCCGCGAATGCTGACAGGGTCTCGCAAGCATGCCCCTAGAGACAGGATACACATCAACTTGCTAGGCCGATGGCTGGGAGACCCTTTCCCTAGGGAGTGTACACAGAGGTAAGCTGAGCTGTCCCTATATACGGGGAGGCCTAGAAATGTGGAATAGAAAGGAGGCTGGAGTCGCTCGAGGAAGGGATTTGGAGATAGGGAGAGTTGGAGCGCAGAGCACTGGCCTAGAAGAGCAGATAAGACGCGTTGCACGTACCCTAGTCTGGCCCTGAGGCCCCCAGCCCGCCCTCGCGACGAAGCCTCGGGTGGCAGGACGCGGTTCCTCGCGCCTTAGTATCCAGGAAGAGTGTGGCGCGCCGGGAAGGATAGGAACTACAACTCCCAGGAGGCATTGCGGAAGGCATTGCTATGCTCAGACCAATGAAAGCGAAAGGCGGGCTTGCGCTGGAACTCAAGCCCCGACTTGGATGATTGGCTGCTGGGATTGGAGGTGGGACTTCATGGTCGCGCTCCACGTTCATCGGTTGGGATGTAAGAGGGTTTCAGAGAGCGCACACTGAGACTGTGGCCATGGAGGAAAACAGCGGCTTCCGGAAGGTGAGGCCTCTGGAATAGTGGCGGGCTCTCTCGGGCATTGCGGGTCCCCGCGTGACAGTCGTGCATGCTCGAAGTCAGCCTTATCGCTGTGTTACTGTGTCTGTGGTGGGGGTCCGGCAGCAGGGTTGGAGCAGCCCGCGCACTCCGCGGCTGGACTGAGCGGGTTTGTAGATTAACAGGCTGGACGGCACGGCGGCACATCCAGGCTGGTCCCCAGGGGTCTTCCCAGGAGGGACCACCGGGCCTTTCCACCTCGGCCGATGCGAGTGCGCGGGACACACTGACAGGAGCCTCCACTGCTTGTCCCGAGGTCATCTCTCAGTGACAGGTTTCAGCGGAGGCGTTCCGTTCCATGATGAGTGGTGCGGTGAGGGTCGGCCCTTGGTATCAGGACAGTGCGCGCCCTGTGCAGAGTCCAGACTGGCCTCCGCACTCCGTTCGGTACTTGAATAGAGTTTTGGGAGCTTTGACCATGACCGTAGTTGTGGTAGTTCACTGAACTATGGGGAATGGGCTGTCCCAGGGAAGAGTGACAGGAAGGGAGGGACCTACATTTTAATCCTACCCTACAGCAGTCACATCCACTTTTTCATGAAACAGCCTGCGGAGCTGTAATCCAGCCCTGTGTTTTAGCTGGCTCTCTGACATGGGCTTCCGCCCAGGTGCTAACAGTCACCAGTTGGAAGTCCTGGGGCTGGGGTCCTTTTCTGGCACTTCTGGTAGCGAGCGGGGGCGAGGGGGACCAGCAGGTGGCGCTGCCCTCGCGTAGTCGTCCATGGACCCTCCTGACAAGTTCACCTGTGCCTGTGTCCGTTCCCGCCCGTGCCTCTCTGCAGCGAGTGGGCATCATGGCTTCCACGTGGCTGACGCTCGTGAATCCAGACCCACTTTCCTTTGTAGGCTACCCACTTCTAGAGTCTTGGTTGCCTGTTGCTGCCTACCTCTGCCATTCCCCTGCCACTTCCTATTCTGTTCTACACTAGGCCAACTTGAGTGGTCTCATGGCTTCACAAACTGCAGGTGCTCGGGGACTCTTCATGGCTCACCTTAGGTGTTCTCACTGAATTCCTAGGCCTCTGGCTTCTCTCTCATCTCCATCTCACACACTGCCACCAAACTTTCAGGGGTCCAAGCCATTCCAGAGGCCTGGCCAATCTCCTGCCACCATCACTCAGTACTCAGATTGCATCATTACAGCTGGGTCTCTCCGGACCTAGTCTACAGTGTCTTCCCAAAATTAGTGCTGTGTCTCCATTCACAACAAGAAACGACTTCCAGCTTCTTGCCAAAGAAAGCTCAAGGGTTCTTGGGTATACGTCCATCCACCCACCCCTCCAGCCACAGCCCAGCTTAATATGCTGATGCCTTGTGTGAGTGTGGCAGTAGAGCCAAGCCAGACTGCCAAAGGTGTCAGGCATTTTTCAAAGCTGCCGGGTGTGTGTGTGTGTGTGTGTGTGTGTGCGCGTGTGTGCGCGCACGCGCGCTGATCTGCTAGAGCATTATCTCCAGGCAGTAAACGTGGAGCACTGTCCCTCAGCTCCGAGGATTGGAAATGTCACTGGACTTTCTCCAAACTCTTTTGTGCTCCCTTGTCCCTACAGGAAAGTCTCTCAAGCCCTTCTTGACAGTCCCTCATTACATCCTCCCCTCAAAGCACATCTGGCTTCGTCCTCTCAACATAGGAAGTGGGCCCAGGATAGCAGTTTCTAGCTGGGAAGTCACAGCCATGCTCCACTTGGTTGCTGATACTTGGGAGGGGTGGAGGGGGGACAACGGACAGACTAGTGGGCAATGGCACTGACTCTCTATGCCCTCCCTCCAGGAACTGGTGAGCAAACTACTCCATCTGCACTTCAGGGATTGCAAGACTAAAGGTTTGGGGCACCAGTGGGCTGGGGACTAATGTGGGGCAGTGGGAGGGAGGGAGGGAGGGAGGGAGGGAGGGAGGGAGGGAGGGAGGGAGGGAGGCTGCCCTGAAACCTCCCTTTCCCTCCAGTCAGCGGGGATGCCCTGCAGCTCATGGTGGAGTTCCTGAGGATCTTCGTACAAGGTGAGCCAAGGGCTCCACAACACCAGAAGGAATTCCTTGTTTTGTTTTTCAGTGAACTAAGGTTTTTCTCAGCTACCACCAAGCCTAAGTCCTGTCCCTGAAAAAAAAAAAAAAAAGTACTCAAGAGACACCTAGGCTTCCCGAGGGTTAACAATGGGTGCAGGGGACCTAACAAGGGCAGGGTTAGAGCCGCCCTGCTTCCCCAGCTCACTTGATGATGTTCCACCAGAGGCTGCTGTCCGTGGGGTCTGGCAGGCCCAGGCAGAGGATCTAGATGTTGTGGATGTGGATCAGCTGGAGAAGGTGCTCCCTCAGCTGGTATGTGGGATGCAGGTGGGGCAGTCTGCAGCTCTCCAGAATGGTGCCTGGGTTCTGAGCCTATTTCTCCTCCATAGCTCCTGGACTTCTAGAGTTCACCCCTGTGGCCTGCAAGGTCTAGTGAATCCACACCAGTATCAACATCTAGTTCCTGAGCTCTCCAGCTTCTAGAGGATGGGAAGACCCCAGCAGCTGTCACCCTTCCTAGCTGTTGCCTCTGAGAGTCCCTGTGAGACAGGTGCAGGCAAAGGTGAACCAGCCTCCCTCCAGACACAGCCCCTCACCCCCACAGCCTTGTATTATAAATAAACCAGCTGCTGGCAGTGCCTCCTTCTTGCCACCCTACATCAAAGCTGCTGTGTAGCCTTTTAACCACCTGACCCCCACCCCCAGGATGCCTCCCTGAGCTGTAAATTTGTTCTTACAAAGCAACATCAATAAATCAACAGCATCTCTCTGAGGCCTGCCTTCTCATTGCCATTAATCACCCAAAGTCTGGTTGCTTCAAAGCCTGAGCCCCATGCCCCCTTCCATCAGTCTCAGTGGGACGAATGCAGAACTCTCAGAAAGGACAGGATAACAAACAGCATGTGTGCACATGCTGCAGTAAGACTGGAGCCTTCACACATGTGGCTGGATCATTTGGAGGATGTCATTCCTGCCACAGGCCACAGCAACTGCCACTAGTAGGCAATGGGGTCCAAGAATGTTTCTGTGAACCAGTAACGGCCCACTGGGGGAGGCAGGACCAGGATACACAAGGTGAGAAGACCTGGAGATCTGCTGCCTGGGCCTGTCCTGCTCTGCCTGACTGTAGGCTGCGTATAGGTAAGGGACAGGCTGTGCCCTCAGAGAGGTACAACTGTGAGGCCTTCCTGTGTGAGGCCTTCCTAGAAGCCCAGTCCAGGCTTGAGCCCTCTGAGATCATCAGGCCCTGGCAGGCCAATTCTCAGGAAACATGCTGGGTGTCTGGCTGGGCGGTGGTAATTAAAGGTGGTGGCACACACCTTTAATCCCAGCACTCAGCAGACAGAGGCAGGCGGATCTCTGAGTTCAAGGACAGCCTGATCTGCATAAGCCTGTCCAGGAAAACCAAGGCTCTATTACACACAGAAACCCTGTCTCAAAAAACAAACCAAACCAAAATAAGCTAATCATGTAGGGTGTTTTGCTACCTGCTACACATAGTACCCCTGTAGGTCTTAGAGTCCCTTTCTTGTCAGAGTCCAGTGTGAATATGTCCCTTCTGCTCTCACAGGGCCTAGAACAGACTTCAGGGCAACCTCTGAAAGCAGTAGCCAGCCTGGATTGAGCTGGGTAGAGAGCTGCTCCTGAGTGCCTGCACACACCTGCACATGCGGGCGCGCTCGCGCGCACACACACACACACACACACACACACACACACACACACACACACGGTAAGTATCTGGGTTCTAAGCACTGAGGAGTGGGTGGGAAATGAGAGATCTTCAGGAATAAGCTGGCTGATGGGACACAGGGCTCCAAACAGCTTAAGTGCTAGAACTGGACCTGCAGTCCCCAACTGAAGGCATGGAAAAAGGGTTACCAAAACACCCTAGGTCAGGCACAGCCAAAGGTAACTCTGTGGTAAACGCCTGTGTCCTCCTCTTCTGGCTATATGCCAAAAGCCTGATATGGCCCCAGGTTGTAGGTAATTTGCAAAGGAGGCTTCTTCCTATACCTCTGTCCAATCTGTAAAGGGCTAAAGAGGTCAGATATAAATGAAGAGAAGCTGGCCTGCCCAGAGTTCTGGCCTCCTCAGGCCCTTCAGAGATATCCCAGCTTTTTAAGAACAGGAACACCCTGTGGTTCAGATAAACTCCCGGGGGTTCTCTGGGAGGCACTGGGTGAGAGTGAGCTAGAAGGAGGCCTGAGGGCCTTTTCTGCAGAAAAGAAGATCCGGGTGTTTTTGAGAGAGGCGCGACTCTTTATTCCTGCTCGGGGTGGGTGGGGTGGGGTCCTGTGGCTGTTGACTGGTGTCTCCAGGCTGGTGGCTCTCACCTCTTGCCGGCTGTGAGGCAAACACAGGAATGATCACAAGCCCCTGGGCTCCTTCCCAGCCACCCTGTCCTACCCAGCTAGTCCATGGCAGGCAGGCACCTGGCAGCTTCAGCCACTTGGGCACTTTGCCCAGGCTTCTCTTCACAGGCTGGGCTGTCCCTTGGATGGGCTCTGGGGGCCCCAGTGCCCCCTCCTCAGCGATTGGCTCAGACTCCAGGGACACAGGGTCAGGGGCTGGCAGCAGGGGTGGGGACCCGGCGGCCCGGGACATACACCTAGGGGTGAGAGGCCAACGCCAGGTGGTGGGCACAGCCTTGGAGGGGCTCCCAACCCCTCATGAACTTACCTGGCCA